ACCTGCCAGAAATGTTGCACGTTGGCAATTGCATGCAGTCTTTTTCTGATAATACAGCAATTCACTGTGATAAATTGTAGAAAATCACATACATGTTAATGTCTACATAGTCAGAAATTCAAATTTAAGTAACTTCCCGCTGAATAGGAAATCCCAGTATCACATTTGCAAGCTGCTTTGCCACCGCCTCCAACCCAGCTCTGCTTCTACATTTATCACTTTATACTTTGCATGTATGTGTGGAAGAGCAGGAAAACCCTAGAACAGAGCCATGCTGACAAATATGGTAAATGGTAAATGGACTGATTCTTATATAGTGCTTTTCTACTATCCCGGAGTACTCAAAGCGCTGTGTACAACATGCCTATATATAAATGACTGCGCATGGAAACATGGTATTTCGGCAACCCTGATGAAGGCCACAAGCCGAAACGCATTGGACTGCAAATAAAGCTGTTCCCTTGTGTTTTAAATGTTGCTGGAGTCTTCACCTCACCAGATCATTGTCCCCCTCCACGCAGTCTTGGAAGTAGGTGAGGTTGTTCCCAAAACCTGAGGATCTCTCCACATGGAAACAGTCTTCTGGCCGAACTGTCTTTAATGGGAATTGTAAAAGTATCTCTGTTCTTCTTTGCCTTTACTCTCCACCTAGATCTTCATCCACATGCTCCCTCCTTACCTGGGCATGCTGCGGCCAAAGGTGGAGACCCCCCTGTCTCTGGAGACCCTACCCCGCCGGGAAAAAAAAGTCACTGCAATTAGCATAGCTTCTGACGAATACTTCATCCGGAAACCTGACTCTTCCGTTTTATTTCCCAAACCCAACAGGTAAAGCCAGGCGTATACGTGCACATGCTTGCTCTCGTGGTTGTGAGTGTGCCTGGATTTGGTTTAGCCTGCATGTTTGAAGAAAAAGCAAATGAACCCAGAAGCAGCATGTGTGAAGTGGAGCGGGTGAACAGTTGTTGATTCAGGCAAAACCCGGACAGATGGATATGAAGAGCTTCCATTCATCATTAGTAGGTTGAGAAGCAATCGACTGCTCTTATCTCTGTTATGTCGTATGGGGTTCTTGAAGTGAATCACATACTGGTATATAAGTTTAAATCCATTATACATATACTATATACATATGTCATTAGATGCGTTTTCCAAATATTACTTTAGAAACAATACTTGTGCAGTAAAATAAGATCAAATACATTAAGAATAAACAAATTTGATTTGATGTCATGTCGAAATGGATTCAAATATATATCACTTTAGTGTCTACACAACCTTGCACTCATAGAAGTTCAGGTTTCCTCCTTAGCGCTTACCACCTCAATTTAGGACAAATTAAAATTCTGTTATATTTTAGGTGCTTTTTTCACTTTGAATTAAATTCAACAGTGTTTAATGAGCCTCTTGAACAGACGAACACCATATTTAAAGATACCAAATGCTACCATAACAATAGCAGCAGCTGCAGCACAAGAAGTAATTCCTTTCCTCTTCTGTCACCTATACGTGCACACATTTATTAGGTTACTTTGTGCTGCATAATGTATTCTCTCAGTGAGGCCAACGAAATCTATCCAATGTTTTTTGGCTCACAATAAGGAAAAAGAAGAAGAAGAAGAAGAAAGAAGATCCCTGTTCATTAGATATAAGGGCTTTTCTACACTACCTGAGAACATTTAACCATCTCCACATTCTCACATATTTAGAGTCATGTGAAAATGAAGGTACACCCCCTTTCAATTCTAAGCTTCTATATATCAGGACATAATTATAAATGGTTCTAGAAAGATTTAAATACAAGCTCAGATGACAAAAATACAACATATTACACAGTGTCATTATTTATTTAACAAAATCAAAACCAAAATATGTGTAAAGGAAAGTTATGGATGCACTTTAGCCCACTCGTTTTTTACAAAAATACTTCATTTTTTTGTGGCAATTTTCCTGATGAGATAATTGAAAAGACAACGTATATAAACACATGTGAAACGCTTGTATCATCCCATAATCCAATACAAGGTTTAACTAACTAAAACAAGAATTGGATCCAAAAACTATTTTCAGGTTTCTCTATTCCACACAGGGTCAGAAGTCTGCATACAGAC